TCACTATGTCAACGTTTAATCAGTCGTTACAATAAGTTGCGATTAAGTAACTCCTCCCCCTCATAACCTGACTCATGAGGGGTTATTTACATAGCCGATCTTAGAGTAGAAATAAAATAATAAAAATAATATCATATCTCTGTACACGCGAGCTTGAGGTCGTAGACAGCTAAGAAAACGTCAAAATCTAGTTTAAAAGGTCGAGACAGACAGACAGACAAGAGACAGAAAGCGAGATAAGCGACACAAACCGGTAAAGACAGAAACCCTAACTAAAAATAAAACGAAAAAAAAAAGAGACTCTCTCTCTCTCTCTCTCTCTCACTCTCTCTCTCTCTCTCTCTCTCTCCGTCGTCTCTACACTAAACAGGTAAACAGAATTGGGTTGGTCAGTCTCCCTAACACAGATAACGACAAAGTATTGTGTCCTCAGTAATGTGATTGGACAAGTTACTCACCAAAAAAGTCGGGAGTATTTGATCAAGCTGTGGTCTTTCGTATCTAAATGTGTTTGTTGTTGTTCTTGTGATGTTTATTGAGAAGTATTTGTTTGTTTTTGTTAGGTTGGACTTTGTATTGTTGGGAGGGTCTTTTTTTTTTATAAAGGTCTTTGTTTTTGTTTCTGATAGGTTGGTCTTTTTTTTGGTCTTTTTTTGGTGTATTCTGGGAGTCTTCGTTGGTATTTTATTAGTGGTAGTCTTTTATTGTGTTATGTTGCGGGGTCTTTCTTGTTGTCCATGCGTTGTGTTGAAGACCTCCATTATGTATAATATATCAATATCTATTACTACATTGTATTTAGGGGTCTTAATATCCTTATACACTATACATCTTATTAGTAAGAATAATTCACTACCGTTTCATCTATTCTTCACTTCAATACGATTATTATCATTTGCTGTTTGTTTACTTATTCATCTAGCAAAAGACTTCTATTATTAGTTATTGTTATGTTGTCCTAATGAAGGGTAATGTAAGTGAAAAGATATTTGGGACGAGTCAGTACAGTGCGTGTGAGGACAGACAGACAGATGGATAAACCCCAAATAGCAATGTTATCCCAGCCTTCTACGTTTTTGGTAATTCAAAAGGGAAAAAGCCAACAGGTGTAGCATTAGTATGAGAAGAAAGTGAGTGATGTGTGGCAGCTGATTGAATTAACTTGCCTCGACTAGAAGATGAAAACTGTAATTTGACCAATCAGTGTATATGCATCTCCTGAGGCAGTAAAGTCTTAGACGTGGTGGTGGTGGAGGAAATCTAAGGCTGATATACCGGGAAATAAAGTCTGGAATTGCTTAGAGTGATGAGGGAAAAAAGTATAAAGTGTGGGAATAAAGTCAGATATAACTGGATATTTTAGATGTAGGTGTAATGGAACAAAAAAAAAAGTCAATCGTATATGGGAGTAAAGTCTATATTGTGGTAAATAAAATCAAGGGTTTATTTTGGAAATAAAGTCTCTATGGTGAGAAATAAAGTCCAAGAACTGAATTATCAAGACGTAGTGAAATAAACTCAAGACAATATGACAATAAACTCGTGTATGGCGGGGGATGTAAACTCCAAGATGCGGGAAGTGCAGTAAAAAAGAAAAAGAAAAAAGTACAAGATATTACATAACAGAGAGAGAGAGAGAGAGAGAGAGAGAGAGAGAGAGAGAGAGAGAGAGAGAGAGAGAGAGTGTGTGTGTTTATAAGTGAGGTGTTTCATCTGAGACCTGATGATAGATTTAAAACTCTAGAAAGTATATAAACAAATACTTTTTAAAACATCAATTTAGAGAGCATTGTATGTACATCTGCTATCAGAGGTAAATAATGTCGGCAGGAGTGACGATATCAAAAACAAAAGTGATACATTATAAGTTTTTACATGTATAAGCTTGCGTGTACATATTCTCAACAAGAGTAAATCGTGGCATTAACTTACGCTTCATTAATCTGCTGCAGTAATAAGCTGTAATTATCCATTAATGTGCAGGAGCGCCTCAGCTGGCGTATATTACCTTGTCTCCAACGTCTCTCTTCCCTAATGAGTCTTGTTGCTCTCGTAAACTACAATACCTTTCTATTTTGTTTATTTATTATCATCATTACTTTACACTTAGTAACATACGTGGTACTGCAGCGTTACACACAGTCATCAGGTTCCAGGCATTTTTTCCTCCTGTAAACCTGAGCATTACAGATTCTGTCAGATCTCTGGCCAAAACCTATTCAATGAAACTCAGACTGGTGTCATCTCTGGGTAGTACTGTTGTGTTATTGTTCTTCATCTCCTTGACTCGGGGTAGAAAAACAGCTTCAAAACAATCATTAATAGATAATTTACCATCAATCATCCATTTTTTCACATCCTGCTGAGATAATTCCTTGTTTTCTCACTTCTTCTGCCGAGATGCTCTCAATAGCCCCGTCAGCTCGTACCCACCACCGACCTACACTGCGACGGGATCTGGGAGGGTCGATGTCCCCTTTAGTCTAGGCCAGATGCGTTTTAAATTAACCCAAAACAAATTAGTATTTTTTTTTTTCGAGCAGAGGAAGCCCTACGGTATGCTTGGGAAAAATCTACAATAATCGGCATTTTACATAATTCCATTGTTCAGTTACACCGAAGGAAACCATTCATTAAATTTTGCAAACTAATCAGGAATCAGAGAAATACCAACTTAAAACAATTAACACTTATTGAATTTTCAGTAAAAGAAGAATATAGACAAAATGACATTGCATAGTGCTCTGACCCGCATAGTTTAGACACTTATCCACCTTGATCCTATAATACTGCCCTTCCTCCGTTCACAAAAGCATCTCCTAACATTCACTCATAATACCGGTGGGTAAACTAATACCAAACCTAAGATGAACAATGGATGAAATAAAATTAGTCACTTTCCTCATCTCGCATCTCTGTTAGGTATGAAAGAGAAGACCAAATATTAACAAAATACCTTACATCTTTACAATTACATATTAACAAAATACCTTACATCTTTACAATTACATATTAACAAAATACCTTACATCTTTACAATTACAATATTCACAACTAAATATTTCTTTATGTAAGTGAATAATATTATGTGATTACAAAATATTTTGCAGTTATATAGACCCAATATAATTCATATCCAATGCCAAAAAATAAACTTCTTATTGCAAGGGATGTACAGCTTTCATATTTACTTCATATAACACACGTACTACAACACCTTTCATACAGAACTTGATGTGAAAGGTTTTGTAAAAATTAATTTAGTTTTGAAAGGTTATTTCTTAAACTTAAGGTGTATGGTCTTAGCCTTGTAATCAAGAAGACAACAATATTTTCCTAGGAAGCTGCTCCCCATTTGAAAATCATAGGCACCTAAATTGCCGACATAGAGTTCATCCACGGTCATAAAATCTACTTTTCCTTTAAAAAAAATCTACTTTCGAGGGTTGTTTTCCCCAGTCACGGTCCTATGCCAGAAGCTCCCTTGAAATTACGAAGTAAAGGGAAGAAGAATTTACAATAATTATCAGTTGAGGCTCGATGAATTTGCGGTGGAAATACGCCTTTAGGTTGTAAGTTTCCTTAATCGTTAACTCAGCTTCTGCCCGCTCCTGTTCTTTTAACGTCTTGAAGAATTAATTCTCTTATTATGTAGTAAATTCATGAACGATTCTATTTTGTCTTAGTATTGCGGTTCCCCAAATGTTGTGTTCCAGTACTGGTGCTTGAATTCTGGAGGGAATATTTTGACTACGGACGCTACATATATTCCTCTTGAAAACATAATATGAACGTCTTTGACTGTTCCCATGCGTAAGTTCTTGACATGATAATACAATTCTTGATATTGTTCAACTGTCCAAGTTACCGGTTCTTGAATAAGTCCCAAACGCTGAGCCGTCTCGTAGGGGAGGTAGATGCCAGACAATCCCGAATCAACCAACATGTCACATGGGGTAGAGTCGCAGGGTGCTTGCGTCCCCATCATATTAGTTAAACACCCATTTATTTAACTTTCTGAATGAAGGGTTCTATAATAGGTGTGAGAATGATGATGGGTGTGTGTGTGTGATGGTGTGTGAATGATGAAGTGAGTGATGATGGTGGTGATGGTGATGGTGGTGATGTGTGATGGTGGTGATGAGTGATGGTGGTGATGTGTGATGGTGGTGATGTGTGATGGTGGTGATGTGTGATGGTGGTGATGTGTGATGGTGGTGATGTGTGATGGTGGTGATGTGTGGTGGTGGTGATGTGATGGTGGTGTGTGGTGGTATGTGTGTGATGTGTGATGTGTGATGGTGGTGATGTGGTGGTGGTGATGTGTGATGGTGGTGATGTGTGTGGTGGTGATGTGATGGATGATGTGTGATGTGTGGTGATGTGTGATGGTGATGTGATGGTGGTGATGTGTGGTGGTGGTGATGTGGGATGGTGATGTGTGATAGTGGTGATCTGTGATGGTGATGTGTGGTAGTGAAGATTAGGTAATGATGGTGTTTTATGTGGTACTGAAGATGTGTGATGGTGGTGTGTGTGGTAGTGAAAGTGTGTGATGTGTTGTGGTTATGAGGTTGGTTGTAACTTAAAAGGCATCATATAGTTGAGGGGAAATTAGGGCTGGACTGCACAGTTGTATTTCGGCAGATTTTCATCCTATTATTAATTAATATTTCTACCACACAGGAAACATAAAACCATTTGTTTAATAATTTGTTTTGGGTTCAGCCTTCAGCAGCTCGTTTTTACATATTCTTTTAAGGTAAAGGATTTTTTTTAATTAATATTTTTAAGTCATTGGGCAATGCTAAATAATTTTTCTTAAGATTTGTCTTCCCTGTAATAAATATTTTATCAGGGCAGGGTGTGAGTTATATGATTGGGATATACTAATAACACTACTTGTCATCACATATTATGCCTGAACCACAAAATGGGATAAAACTCTTCTTAATACCTAAGATCTTCGGGGTACTTACATGCCAAATACTGTCAAGTGGTCAAGACTTTTGACCCCGACTGTACATAAAAGCATGGAGTTTTGAGCGTTAAGAATGTTATAACACCTCACTACCTTCGTCACCACCTTGAGCTAGACACTTACACCGTCATACAACAGCGGTAGATGAACCCAAGATGCCCTCGAGTACAGTATATATATATAGAAGAGAATTCACTAATATTGTAATCTGTTTAAGCAACTTAAAAATGATTTTTGCCTCGGATAAAGGCAGCGCAGCAAGAATGGCCGGGCATGCAGGAAATAGGTTAATTTCCTTCTGCCTGTAAATCGCCTCGTAAATGTGATAAAATACACATGCATTAACTATAGCACTCGGGGGCGGTGAGCGTGCTGCTGACGGCGGCTTGCACGTCCTACTCACACCCCGGAATACAGGCTATCAGGCAACGCGACATACTCGTCCTAGATGCTATCCAAAAATAATTTGCCTGAAGGAAGACTCGCCAAAAAATCATGCGTAATTCTGTTTTTAAGTGAGTGACTGTAAAGGAGGACATGCAGCTGCAGTTTGTGTTCACTGAAATTCTCATGTTTCTTTTGAAGTTAACTTTAGTTTAGGTAAGGTAATTAATTTTGTTGTCAGGTGAGATGACCTATAGTTTAGCAATCTTAATAGACCCTAATGCAATCTTTTCTAACATTAGGAGGGTCCCACTCTTATTGGGCCAGGATTAGGTTAAGTTAGGTTAGGTTAGACACGAGTCTACGTCACTTTCAAATTTTCACTTTATTTCTCTGGCAAAAGTCTTACACTTACATATTATAAACAAATCTGGACCTACGGACGGTACGCTCCCCCCATACCCCTCTCATCCCCTCCCTACCCAATACCCCTCTCATTCCCTCCCTACCCCCTACCCCTCTCATTCCCTCCCTACCCCTCTCATCCCCTACCCCTCTCATCCCTCCTACCCCTCATCCCTCCCTGCCCCACCCCCCACCCTCTCATTCCTCCCTACTCCCCCTCCCTACCTCTCATCCCCTCCCTACCCCCTCTCATCCCCTCCCCTACCCCCTCTCATCCCCTCCCTACCCCTCCCTTCCACCTCCCTACCCCCTACCCCCTACCCCTCTCATCCCCTCCCCTACCCTCCTCATCCCCTCCCCACCCCTCATCCCCTCCCCCTACCCCTCATCCCTCCCTACCCCTCATTCCCTCCCTACCCCTCTCATCCCCTCCCACCCCTACCCCCACCCCTACCCCTCCCACCTCCCCCCCTACCCCTCCCACCCCCACCCCCCACCCCCACCCTCCCCCACCTCCCACCCCCCCTCCCTCCCTACCCCCTCCCTCCCCCCCCTCCCACCCCCTACCCCACCTCCCACTCCCACCCCCTCCCACCCCCCCAAAAACACACACACACACACACACACACGCACACAGAAAAACGGTGCGGTTAACTGCAGTGTATTAACTTGGTTGCTAAATATACCTCCGTGAATGGAAACTGTTGTGTGGGAGAGTATAATGTAAGCTGGGAGTTAGCGCCAATATTTTACCTTAATGGCGCCTCTCAAATAAAATTGGACAAGAGGGAAACATTAACAGAAAAGCTTTACAAGAATAACAGTTAAACTATACTATTTTTTCCTTATTTCGTTTTTTTTTTTCCATTCTCTTCTCCTATTTACCGTTTATATTTACCTTTTTCGTTGTATATATTGTGAAGATGTACAGGTATTTCAATATAACAGAACCTAGGCCTATACACACTGTTAATGGCGCAGAGTTTATAACAGAACCTGGAACTATACACACTGTTAATGACGCAGAGTTTATAACAGAACCTGGAACTATACACACTGTTAATGACGCAGAGTTTATAACAGAACCTGGAACTATACACACTGTTAATGACGCAGAGTTTATAACAGAATCTGGAACTATACACACTGTTAATGACGCAGAGTTTATAACAGAACCTGGAACTATACACACTGTTAATGACGCAGAGTTTATAACAGAACCTAGACCTATACACACTGTTAATGACGCAGAGTTTATAACAGAACCTGGACCTATACACACTGTTAATGACGCAGAGTTTATAAATTTTGGACCTATACACACTGTTAATGACGCAGAGTTTATAACAGAACCTAGGCCTATACACACTGTTAATGGCGCAGAGTTTATAACAGAACCTGGAACTATACACACTGTTAATGACGCAGAGTTTATAACAGAACCTGGAACTATACACACTGTTAATGACGCAGAGTTTATAACAGAACCTGGAACTATACACACTGTTAATGACGCAGAGTTTATAACAGAATCTGGAACTATACACACTGTTAATGACGCAGAGTTTATAACAGAACCTGGAACTATACACACTGTTAATGACGCAGAGTTTATAACAGAACCTAGACCTATACACACTGTTAATGACGCAGAGTTTATAACAGAACCTGGACCTATACACACTGTTAATGACGCAGAGTTGAGTAATGGTATGATGTTCCTCGTTTAGTTAATAATAGGAGAGATGCAGGAGGATTATACAGTACTGGTCATTAGGAGGGAAGGGAAGGGGGGGGGGGAGGGGGAATTACATCAGGTACTTAGTAGGTGAGATAGACTTAATTACCCAGGTGTCTCAGGTGTCTCTATCAGTATAATTATATTCTCGGAAATGTCTCGTTGTTAGTACTATGGTAATTAATAACTCTTTCATTGATTTATGCTTCATTCTCTTTTTATATATAATAAAAATTCAAGTAATTAATTAAAGGCGGATAAGGACTTTTTCATTTTATTATCGGACGCTAAAATTTTACTAATAATTAAATCACATATTTTCTTGAGTCATTTTCGTAAACTTTTATTCCTAACTAATACGTCCGTATTATTAAACAACATCTTCCCTTGAAGAGGGTCGTCGTGTTTCAACCCGAGTTTTAAATAAAATTAGTACTGAGGGACACCGCAGTACAGTACTTAACTGGGTGGTGTGGCGGTAAATTAACTAATTCCAATAAAATTAATTTATAATATTGGAATTAGTTAATTTACCGCCACACCGTGCAATGCTGCTATGTTCTCAAGTGCTTGACTGGGCGATAATCTTTTACCATTTCTTTTCCTTCCGAGTCACAGATCCCCCTCGTATTGTACCTAAATAAACCTGGTTAACTGCCGTTATCCCAAGAAAACGGCTGCTAAATACGATGGTAAAAGCGGCTATCGTCCTGAGAAAATCAGTGATGGTTGCAGCTATCGTCGTGAGAAAATCGGTGATAAATGCGGCGATCGTCGTGAGAAAATCGGTGATAAATGCGGTTATCGTCCCTCCTGAATTAAAACAGACGACACGGCTTCCCCAGCGTGTACACTGAATTTTTCCTACACGGGAACACGACACCAACGTCCAGCCGCAGTTAGTGTCGGCTATTTCTGGCGGCTTATTATTTCCTGAGTGGAGAGACTGACTCATGGTTTGACTTGACTTAACTTGACGCTGTGGGTGTGTGTAGATATGCATGTTCACCGTGGCATACATGAGACACACACACACACACACAGGTCTCGTAAGGTTGTCTGCCTACACATATAGTAATGCTCTGGGTGTTTCTTGACCTCGGTGATAGTGGAGTAGATTATACAGATGCTCTCAGAGGACGTGTGTCAACAGGGCATCAACGACACCTTACTCTCATGGTCTTTATCTGGACGAGTTGTTGATCTTTTTATCTGTTTTGTATTAGTATATTGTGCACAGGAGATCCATAACTTCATACTGTGGTGTGTGTGTGTGTGTGTGTGTGTGTGTGTGTGTGTGTGTGTGTGTGTGTGTCAAGGAGTAATGGGCTGATGTGAAGCATTTGTTTATTTGTCATCATATAGGCAGCTCAATACAAGCTCTCCCTGACCAAACTGATGGAAGTTTATTGTGGGTGAGGGATGAATATTTACAATTATGATCTAAAGCAAGTCATTTGAAAGTATATACCCACATAATTAACTGAAACAATAGCAAAAATAATACCAGGAAATGTATTACTGATCCTCCCTCAGCGAGCGTGAAACAACCGCCAGAAATATTTCTTTAAAAGTGTGAAAAAGAAAAGCAAAGAATGACGATCATTCAGTAAAATCCTCAGTGGTGTTCCGAGGAAAATATTATTGATAGTAAAATATGTGGAATGAAAGCCTGCAGGATATTTTAGGACCGTCTTCAGGGGGAAAAAGTATTTGCGACAGACAACAATTTGATATGAAAAACAAAAATAAATTCTTCAGCCCTCAGCCTTACTTGTTATGAATATTAAGGCATCAAAGGAGTTTTATATCGCGCTCACACACAAACACACACACACACACACTCACACACACACACACACACACACACACACACACACACTCTAACAGGAAGTCTATGGTGTAGCTCAAGAAACTCTCCTTCACTTCCTCCTTGACAATTGCTTTCTCGACGTCCGATTGAAATGAAACTCAGAAGATATTTTTACCATTCCTGAAATTCCACACTGTGTCCAGACTCACTAAACATAAAAGAAGAAGGAAAATCTTACGGGTATCAATACAACATCCCCCTCTTACTTCCTTGGTGGATTAAGGCGTTTGTCCTGTGTTTGTTTACATCTGTCGTTCTTTCTCAACCTATCGCACTGTGGCAACGATCTTGGTTATTCTCACCAACAATATGCCCTGAAACTAAAAGGATTCCACACTATGTAACCAAAGATTCCTGATGAGGTGAATATTAAAACTATCAGGGTATGTTTGTTTTTTCTGATTTATATATAAGTATGCTGAGCGTTTCATAGGTTTATATTTGTCTTTGGTTTATAGTTTTATTATTCAGTTAGTAATAAAGACTTTGGTGATTCGTTGTTAAATAATTCTATAAGTTAATGTTAAATACGAGTGGTTAAGTTTATTTTATGGTGTATTCCGTCTAGTAATTATATTTGTTCTAAGTAAGGCTGAAAGAAACCTTGTTATTCTGTTGTGTAATTCATGATCAATACGCTCGATCCTTCTGAGAAACTGAATCATAATGTTTTTCGTTTGTCTCTGTCTTGTGGTACATCAAAGGCGGGGAGAGATGAGACGGCGGCGCTTGTGTTCCCAGCAGACAATTTCACCTTAGACTCGTATTGTTAGTTGTTTATTTACCTTAAAACTTTACGACATAAATATACTTTTCTACTACAACTCGTATAATGGATTTCTTAGGTAAAAGTTGCTGAAAAATGTCCGTAAATCGAAAATTCGTAAATTGAAGTAGATTTTCACATTGACTACCATTATAAATTAGGAGATACGTTCCTACGAGAGAGAGAGAGAGAGAGAGAGAGAGATCCTGTCTACCCAGCGGTAATTAAAATCTGGATGTTTACTTACAGAGACTGAACTCCATTACAGATGATAGGTAAACTTTTATGGGTTACAAATGTTAAATGAATGTTGAATGTTGTACAGTGTTATTGTGGTTTAAATATCACAGGGCGGGGGGGGGGGGGGGTCCAGACGTAGCAGACGGTCCTTGGCGACTGAACGTTTCTAGGAATTAGTAGAACCCCCTTGGCCAGGTAACCAGGTATCAGGTACTCTTTTTGGCCAGGTAACCATGTACCGCTTATCACCCTTGGCCAGGTCACTTATCGTTGGATTACTAACCCTTCCTACCCTGACAACTCGGTAATAAAGACTCCTTCCCCAGGTATCATATATCTTCTCTCACCAGGTGACTATCGATTGTCCTCCCTCGCCAGGTAAAATATCATCAAGCCATTATGAAGGTATTGTAACTAAATCACACAGATCTTCCTCATCGGGTAACTAGGTATCGTATACTTTCCCTTTGACCACGTAACGGATTGTAGGTAGGGCACTAAACTAGTATCGTAAGTCGGGTCTGAATAATGGAGAAGCTTTGCTAGGAGTAAACACGTTACCTCCCGCATACATGAATAAGTAATGCTCTTTGGTAAATGGAGCGACGTTCACAGAATGCAGTAAAAATCCGCGGATTAAATGTAGATCGCAATTTTGCCACGTAGTGAATAAACTTTGGCTCTGACAGTATGTTTTGCCTTGTGATGGATGGGATCAAGCGGCGGGCCCTTGTATAGAGAGTAACAAAATATCCGTCGCTTCACCTTCCGTTTTGCTACACAGATAAACAAAAATTTTCCTCACATAACTTACTTTGGAGTCTCATGAGATTAAAAATACTTATAATCTTAAAAAGTTGTATATTTTGGTTAGGAAGTAAGCATAACAACGATGAATAGAAAGTACATAGTTTCATAATGTTTGAACCTAAAAAAACAACAACTTATCCTCGTTTCATTTGTGTGAGGAAAATTGCTTAAATGAGGGAGAGAATATGAAGGAAAAGTCCAAATAGGGAGAGAATATGAAGGAAAAGTCCAAATAGGGAGAGGATATGAAGGAAAAGTCCAAATAGGGAGAGAATATGAAGGAAAAAGTCCAAATAGGGAGAGAATATGAAGGAAAAGTCCAAATAGGGAGAGAATATGAAGGAAAAAGTCCAAATAGGGAGATAATATGAAGGAAAAGTCCAAATAGGGAGAGAATATGAAGGAAAAGTCCAAATAGGGAGAGAATATGAAGGAAAAGTCCATTTAGGGAGAGAATATGAAGGAAAAAGTCCAAATAGGGAGAGAATAAGAAGGAAAAGTCCAAATAGGGAGAGAATATGAAGGAAAAGTCCAAATAGGGAGAGAGAATATGAAGGAAAAAGTCCAAATGGAGATAATATGAAGGAAAATCCCAATTAGGAGAGAATATGAGGAAAAAGATCCAAATAGGGAGAAGATATGAAGGAAAAAAGTCCAATTAGGGAGAGAATAAGAAGGAATAAGTCCAAATAGGGAGAGAATATGAAGGAAAAAGTCCAATTAGGGAGAGAATATGAAGGAAAAGTCCAAATAGGGAGAGAATATGAAGGAAAAGTCCAAATAGGGAGAGAATATGAAGGAAAAAGTCCAAATAGGGAGAGAATATGAAGGAAAAAGTCCAAATAGGGAGAGAATTTGAAGGAAAAAGTCCAAATAGGGAGAGAATATGAAGGAAAAAGTCCAATTAGGGAGAGAATATGAAGGAAAAGTCCAATTAGGGAGAGAATATGAAGGAAAAAGTCCAAATAGGGAGAGAAAATGTGTGTCAAAACGCCTAAATGAGGAATATACACAAGCTAAACTTAATTATCTCTAAACTATAGGACTGGTGATCCTAACCTAACCTAACCACACAAAAACTACACGAATACATTATTTAATACCATAGACACCAGAGATGAACATTATAAGCGACGTAATTATATTGTTTCGTGAGTTAAGGTTGAAAGGTCAGTTATTGCTATTTTTTTAATGATTATTGAAAGCTAATGCCGTTTTAAAGCAGTTAATAATAATAATAATGTCAATCACTACAATAACACAAACACTAATAATAATGATAATAACTAACAATAACTACAAT